ATATTAGTGAATAATACAGGACGTCACAGATAATATTAGTGAATAATACAGCACGTCACGGATAATATTAGTGAATAATACATGATGTCACGGATAATATTAGTGAATAATACAGGACGTCATGGATAATATTAGTGAATAATACAGGACGTCCTGGATAATATTAGTGAATAATACAGGACGTCACGGATAATATTAGTGAATAATACAGAATGTCACGGATAATATTAGTGAATAATACAGGACGTCACAGAGAATATTAGTAAATGATATAGAACTGCTCACTTTAAATAGAGCCTATAATATCCTGGCCCCAAGGTGGGAAAACTGGGAAAACTAATAAGGGGTGACGAGGCCCACAGCTGAATACCAATAGGACTGGATATTGAAGAGTGGATACCAATAATACTGCTGTAAATTTAATAGTATAAAACAATATATTTATTAAACATACACAACTATAAAAACAATATGTGCAGTATATCCAAAATCCGTTAATATAAAGTGCTAAAATGCATTTTGCCACCACGCAGCTTCATCAGTTAGCACTGTATTATTCACTAATATTATCCGTGACGTCCTGTATTATTCACTAATATTATCCGTGACGTCCTGTATTATTCACTAATATTATCCATGACGTCCTGTATTATTCACTAATATTATCCGGGACGTCCTGTATTATTCACTAATATTATCCATGACGTCCTGTATTATTCACTAATATTATCCGCGACGTCCTGTATTATTCACTAATATTATCCGGGACGTCCTGTATTATTCACTAATATTATCTGTGACGTCCTGTATTATTCACTAATATTATCCTTGACATCCTGTATTATTCACTAATATTATCCATGACGTCGTGTATTATTCACTAATATTATCCGTGACATCCTGTATTATTCACTAATATTATCCGTGACTTCCTGTATTATTCACTAATATTATCCGTGACGTCCTGTATTATTCACTAATATTATCCATGACGTCCTGTATTATTCACTAATTTTATCCGTGACGTCCTGTATTATTCACTAATATTATCCGGGACGTCCTGTATTATTCACTAATATTATCTGTGACGTCCTGTATTATTCACTAATATTATCCGTGACATCCTGTATTATTCACTAATATTATCCGTGACATCCTGTATTATTCACTAATATTATCTGTGATGTCCTGTATTATTCACTAATATTATCCGGGACGTCCCGTATTATTCACTAATATTATCCGGGACGTCCTGTATTATTCACTAATATTATCCGGGACGTCCTGTATATGGCACAATTATTCCATCTCTGTGACGTCCTGTATTATTCACTAATATTATCCGGGACGTCCTGTATTATTCACTAATATTATCCGGGACGTCCTGTATTATTCACTAATATTATCCATGACGTCCTGTATTATTCACTAATATTATCCGTGACGTCCTGTATTATTCACTAATATTATCCGGGACGTCCTGTATTATTCACTAATATTATCTGTGACGTCCTGTATTATTCACTAATATTATCCTTGACATCCTGTATTATTCACTAATATTATCCATGACGTCGTGTATTATTCACTAATATTATCCGTGACATCCTGTATTATTCACTAATATTATCCGTGACTTCCTGTATTATTCACTAATATTATCCGTGACATCCTGTATTATTCACTAATATTATCCATGACGTCCTGTATTATTCACTAATTTTATCCGTGACGTCCTGTATTATTCACTAAAATTATCCGGGACGTCCTGTATTATTCACTAATATTATCTGTGACGTCCTTTATTATTCACTAATATTATCCGTGACATCCTGTATTATTCACTAATATTATCCGTGACATCCTGTATTATTCACTAATATTATCTGTGAGGTCCTGTATTATTCACTAATATTATCTGGGATGTCCTGTATTATTCACTAATATTATCCGGGACGTCCCGTATTATTCACTAATATTATCCGGGACGTCCTGTATATGGCACAATTATTCCATCTCTGCTTCTCTATGTGTTGATTTAGTGGTCCGTCCCCGTTTGCCCCCCCCTTTTTTTTTCTATGATTGAGCGGGGAGTCATTGTTCTTTGAGTGAAGCATTGAGACTGCCCATCTACAATGTGTCATTATATATAACATTATTACACACATTATTAAACTAAGAGAGAGAGTTATTCATCTCCCTGATAATTGGTTACAATGTTGCAGGAAAGGAATGACATATTTTAAATTTGACTATTTTGTCTCTAGGGATTGCTAATTACGATGAATACGTGCTTTTTATGTGAGTAGTAAGTTTGATTCACCACCTTGTGGTTTGATTTCCACATTCAACAATTCCACCATCTAAATTACTTTTTTTTCTTTCTGTTTTTGTACGATTTCGCATATCACAATCTTGTAAAAGTATAAGTAAACTCTGTTTTCAGCGTATACTATTTTATAATAACATATCACTTATTATTTTTTATTCACTACAGAGTGTGATGACTTTAACACCGACTTGCATGACTGAGGCTAAAATGCATCCAGTTGTATAAAATCTACAATTCTCTGTTTGAGATTCCTGTGAATTGTGCGAGTCGACTCTAAGCTCACATATATCCTATAAAAGCAGCTCTCAGCCTGTGTGTGGTGTTTAATCGTGGAATAAATGCAGGACGTGAATTAGACATGAAATAAATGTTTTGCTATTTGTGTCTAAAAGGGTTTTCTCAGCAGTATATTTGGTGGAGAATCGAAATCCAATGTGAACAGATTATTAGGAGATTTTAGTATCGTTTTTTATTGCAATGAAGGATTAGCTGTAGAATTCCAGCTGCTGGGGACCAGGGAGAAAAATGGCTTCCAGTGCAATGCATCTTGGGAAAAGGTAGCCTAACACAAAAACCCTTTAGCCGTCCCTGACTTGTAAGCAGCAGTAATACAAACAACGTGCTCGTGGGAGTATTTATAAACCGGCATTAGATAATTCAGTGGGAATTGATTCTACAGTGGAAAATGTCCTTAAACATATTTTTTTTCCCCTGATTTTAAATTAATGCCCTTATTGTTGTCAGACTGCAAACTAGGCTAATGGAAAATAGATATTTTTTTTTTAATGATTTCTAAGCAAAAGAGAGTCATTCTCTTATAACAAAGGGAGCTATTCTGAAGATGCCAATTCAACGTCACTTAATGTCTGCGTTCCCATGAGGCATCTCTTTTGAGAGCGAAGATTGTGCCATTCACATGTGCTTAAAGGAACTTGTTTTCAATGGATTTACCCTGCGCCACCTTTCATGTGATGCTTTGAAATGCTGTGCCCTGCTGTATATGTGCGTTGAATGATCACTGTACGAGGCACAGCCTGGAAGCTGTACATGTGAGAGGGGTTTCAGAATTGTCCTTTAGCACAATAACTCCTTGAGTTGAAGGAAGAAGGTCTCCCTGGATTCTCATGGACCGTTTCCTGGCATTTATCAGTAAGGGCAATAAAATGTGGTCATGCACAGTCCATAGGAAATGCAATCACAGTAACTGAGAGTCTGTTTGATACAAAATGTTCATTGTTTCACTGCGCGGTTTGGCATAAATAATTGAGTTTTGCGGGATTTCCGTTTTTGAAGAACACCAAAACTTTCTCACGGCAGTGCGGCATTTTGGTAGGTTTATTCATTCTCTGCGGTTGTTAAAAAAATTATAATATATAGAATTACAGAGGATCCCACTAATATTCCTGGTACCTGGATTCAAGACGTCTACTAGAAACTAACCTTTTAACCCAGACAGGGCAACAAAACAAGGAATACTACGATTAGCAAGTCTTTTCATTCATTTCTTAACCAATTGGAGTGCAGAAAAAAAACACATAACATCATTGTCAAAAAATGACATAAATAATAGGAGACATTAGATTGCAGATTCCATGACCTTTTTCATCCCGCTTGATTAAAGTAACATGGTTTTATACGTTCTATAGAATCTGGTCGAAATAATTTGCTGTATTTTTTACGTGCTCTGTGTTATAAATTATTTGTAAAAAAAAAACGTTTTGCAACATTCTAAAACATTCTGAATGTTAATCAGCATCTCTCTTGTCCCAAAACCCTGCTCCGGGCATAACCGAGGCTGTGCCCATTCGGTTTCAAACTAATGGCAGTTTGTCAGATATTTGGGCAATTGGAGGGTCATTTGAATTCTGATTTTCCCCCATGTACAAGTCTAAAAAATAGCTTTCAAATCTGCTACTCAACCCTGTTTGGCAGATTTGATATACAGTTTCAGCTTATGTGATACACTAGCAGACACATTACTAGGAGTTGTATTATTGTGGAGCTCTGGGATACACTAAAAGGCACATTACTGGAAGTTGTATTGGTTTGGAGCTCTGTGAGGCACCAAAAGGCACATTACTGGGAGTTGTGTTGGTGTGGATCTCTGGGATACACTAACAGGCACATTACTGGGAATTGTATTGTTGTGGAGCTCTGTGATGCTCTAACAGGCATATTACTGGGAGTTGTGTTGGTGTGGAGCTCTGGGATGCACTAACAGGCACATTACTGGGATTTGTATTGTTGTAGATCTCTGTGATGCTCTAACAGGCATATTACTGGGAGTTGTGTTGGTGTGGAGCTCTGGGATACACTAACAGGAACATTACTGGGAGTTGTATTATTGTGAAGCTCTGTGAGGCACTAAACGGCACATTACTGGGAGTTGTGTTGGTGTGAAGCTCTGTGAGGCACTAAACGGCACATTACTGGGAGTTGTATTGGTGTGGAGCTCTGGGATACACTAACAGGCACATTACTGGGAGTTGTATTGGTGTGGAGCTCTGGGATACACTAACAGGTACATTACTGGGAGTTGTATTGTTGTGGATGAGGGGGTGTTACCAGGGAGGGCGCTGTAAAGATTTGACATGAATGACCGAATATCTGTGCAAGAGTCACATCTCTGCTCGCAGACATGCACAGCTGGTGGGAGTGCGCAGGGGGTGTAAAGGTTAATATACATGTGCAGAGAATTTTGAGTGCAGCTTCTGTTCATTAAGTGGACACATCCATTATTATATTGACCTCATTTGAGTTTGTTTGTCTGTTACCATATGGAGAGTTTTAACATCCTGTCCAACATGACTTGGGAGACATACGGAGACCAGGATCCCATGCCTGTATCAGAGGCTCATAGCAATCAGCAGAAATCAGTCACAATCCATAAATCGAGCAGTTAGCAGTCATAATCCAGAGACATAATCCAGAGACAGTGATCTCAGCAACCAGTCATAATCCAGAGACAGTGATCTCAGCAACCAGTCATAATCCAGAGACAGTGATCTCCGCAACCAGTCATAATCCAGAGACAGTGATCTCCGCAACCAGTCATAATCCAGAGACAGTGTTCTCAGCAACCAGTCATAATCCAGAGATAGTGATCTCAGCAACCAGTCATAATCCAGAGACAGTGATCTCCGCAACCAGTCATAATCCAGAGACAGTGATCTCAGCAACCAGTCAAAATCCAGAGACAGTGATATCAGCAACCAGTCATAATCCAGAGACAGTGATCTCAGCAACCAGTCATAACCCAGAGACAGTGATCTCCGCAACCAGTCAAAATCCAGAGACAGTGATCTCCGCAACCAGTCATAATCCAGAGACAGTGTTCTCAGCAACCAGTCATAATCCAGAGATAGTGATCTCAGCAACCAGTCATAATCCAGAGACAGTGATCTCCGCAACCAGTCATAATCCAGAGACAGTGATATCAGCAACCAGTCATAATCCAGAGACAGTGATCTCAGCAACCAGTCATAATCCAGAGACAGTGATCTCAGCAACCAGTCATAATCCAGAGACAGTGATCTCAGCAACCAGTCATAATCCAGAGACAGTGATCTCAGCAACCAGTCATAACCCAGAGACAGGGATCTCCGCAACCAGTCAAAATCCAGAGACAGTGATATCAGCAATCAGTCATAATCCAGAGACAGTGATCTCAGCAACCAGTCATAATCCAGAGACAGTGATCTCAGCAACCAGTCAAAATCCAGAGACAGTGATCTCAGTAACCAGTCATAATCCAGAGACAGTGATCTCAGCAACCAGTCAAAATCCAGAGACAGTGATCTCAGCAACCAGTCATAATCCAGAGACAGTGATCTCCGCAACCAGTTATAATCCAGAGACAGTGATCTCAGTAACCAGTCATAATCCAGAGACAGTGATCTCAGCAACCAGTCATAATCCAGAGACAGTGATCTCAGTAACCAGTCATAATCCAGAGACAGTGATCTCCGCAACCAGTCATAATCCAGAGACAGTTATCTCAGTAACCAGTCATAATCCAGAGACAGTGATCTCCGCAACCAGTCATAATCCAGATACAGTGATCTCAGTAACCAGTCATAATCCAGAGACAGTTATATCAGTAAACAGTCATAATCCAGAGACAGTGATCTCCGCAAAAAGTCAAAATCCAGAGACAGGGATCTCCGCAACCAGTCATAATCCAGAGACAGTGATCTCAGTAACCAGTCATAATCCAGAGACAGTGATCTCCGCAACCAGTCATAATCCAGAGACAGTGATCTCCGCAACCAGTCGTAATCCAGAGACAGTGATCTCAGCAACCAGTCATAATCCAGAGACAGTGATCTCAGTAACCAGTCATAATCCAGAGACAGTGATCTCAGCAACCAGTCATAATCCAGAGACAGTGATCTCCGCAACCAGTCATAATCCAGAGACAGTGATCTCAGCAACCAGTCAAAATCCAGAGACAGTAATCTCAGCAACCAGTCATAATCCAGAGACAGTGATCTCAGCAACCAGTCAAAATCCAGAGACAGTGATCTCAGCAACCAGTCATAATCCAGAGACAGTGATCTCAGCAACCAGTCAAAATCCAGAGACAGTGATCTCAGTAACCAGTCATAATCCAGAGACAGTGATTTCAGCAACCAGTTTTAACCCAGAGACAGTGATCTCAGCAACCAGTCATAATCCAGAGACAGTGATCTCAGCAACCAGTCAAAATCCAGAGACAGTGATTTCAGCAACCAGTCATAATCCAGAGACAGTGATCTCAGCAACCAGTCAAAATCCAGAGACAGTGATCTCAGCAACCAGTCAAAATGATCTCAGCAACCAGTCATAATCCAGAGACAGTGATCTCAGTAACCAGTCATAATCCAGAGACAGTGATCTCAGCAACCAGTCTTAACCCAGAGACAGTGATCTCAGCAACCAGTCATAATCCAGAGACAGTGATCTCAGCAACCAGTCAAAATCCAGAGACAGTGATCTCAGCAACCAGTCATAACCCAGAGACAGTGATCTCAGTATCCAGTCATAATCCAGAGACAGTGATCTCAGTAACCAGTCATAATCCAGAGACAGTAATCTCAGTAACCAGTCATAATCCAGAGACAGTGATCTCAGTAACCAGTCATAATCCAGAGACAGTGATCTCAGCAACCAGTCATAATCCAGAGACAGTGATCTCAGCAACCAGTCATAATCCAGAGACAGTGATATCAGCAACCAGTTATAATCCAGAGACAGTGATCTCAGTAACCAGTCATAATCCAGAGACAGTGATCTCAGCAACCAGTCATAATCCAGAGACAGTGATCTCAGCAACCAGTCATAATTCAGAGACAGTAATCTCAGTAACCAGTCATAACCCAGAGACAGTGATCTCAGTAACCAGTCATAATCCAGAGACAGTGATCTCAGCATCCAGTTATAATCCAGAGACAGTCACAATCCAGACAAACAGTAATAGCCAGCATCCAGCGATCACCTGCCGTCAATCATTATCCTGACACTCAGTGATCACCAGCTGTCAGTCATTATCCAGATTCTCAGAGATCGCCAGCTGTCAATCATTATCCAGACTCTCAGTGATTGCCAGCTGTCAGTCAATATTCAGACACTGAGTAATTGCCAGTTGTCAGTCATTATGCAGACACTCCATGATCGCCAGCTGTCAGTCATTATACAGACACTCAGTGATTGCCAGCTATCAGTCATTATGCAGACACTCAGTGATCTCCAGCTGTCAGTCATTATCCAGAAACTCAGTGATCTCCAGCCGTCTGTCATTATCCAGACACTCAAAGATCGCCAGCTGTCAGTCATTATCCAGACACTCAGTGATCGCCAGCTGTCAGTCATTATCCAGATTCTCAGAGATCGCCAGCTGTCAATCATTATCCAGACTCTCAGTGATTGCCAGCTGTCAGTCAATATTCAGACACTCAGTAATTGCCAGCTGTCAGTCATTATGCAGACACTCCATGATCGCCAGCTGTCAGTCATTATCCAGACACTCAGTGATCTCCAGCTGTCAGTCATTATCCAGACACTCTGTGATTGCCAGCTGTCAGTCATTAACTAGACACTCAAAGATCGTCAGCTGTCAGTCATTATCCAGACACTCAGTGATCGCTGGCTGTCAGTCATTATCCAGACACTCAGTGATCGCCAGCTGTCAGTCATTATCCAGACACTCAGTGATCGCCAGCTGTCAGTCATTATCCAGACACTCAGTGATCGCCAGCTGTCTGTCATTATCCAGACACTCAGTGATCGGCAGCTGTCAGTCATTATCCAGACACTCAGTGATCGCCAGCTGTCAGTCATTATCCAGACTCTCAGTGATTGCCAGCTGTCAGTGATTATCCAGAAACTCAGTGATCTCCAGCCGTCTGTCATTATCCAGACACTCAAAGATCGCCAGCTGTCAGTCATTATCCAGACACTCACTGATCGCCAGCTGTCAGTCATTATCCAGACACTCAGTGATCGCCAGCTGTCAGTCATTATCCAGACACTCAGTGATCGCCAGCTGTCTGTCATTATCCAGACACTCAGTGATCGCCAGCTGTCAGTCATTATCCAGACACTCAGTGATCTCCAGCTGTCAGTCATTATCCAGACACTCGGTGATCTCCAGCTGTCAGTCATTATCCAAACACTCAGTGATCTCCAGCTGTCAGTCATTATCCAGACACTCGGTGATCGCCAGCTGTCAGTCATTATCCAGACACTCAGTGATCGCCAGCTGTCTGTGATTATCCAGACACTCAGTGATCGCCAGCTGTCAGTCATTATCCAGACACTCAGTGATCTCCAGCTGTCAGTCATTATCCAGACACTCAGTGATCGCCAGCTGTCAGTCATTATCCAGACACTCAGTGATCTCCAGCCGTCTGTCATTATCCAGACACTCAGTGATCTCCAGCTGTCAGTCATTATCCAGACACTCCGTGATCGGCAGCTGTCAGTCATTATCCAGACACTCAGTGATCGCCAGCTGTCAGTTATTATCCAGACACTCAGTGATCGGCAGCTGTCAGTTATTATCCAGACACTCAGTGATCGGCAGCTGTCAGTCATTATCCAGACACTCAGAGATCGCCAGCTGTCAGTCATTATCCAGACACTCAGTGATCGCCAGCTGTCAGTTATTATCCAGACACTCAGTGATCGGCAGCTGTCAGTCATTATCCAGACACTCAGAGATCGCCAGCTGTCAGTCATTATCCAGACACTCAGTGATCGGCAGCTGTCAGTCATTATCCAGACACTCCGTGATCGCCAGCTATCAGTCATTATCCAGAGACTCAAAGATCGCCAGCTGTCAGTCATTATCCAGACACTCAGAGATCGCGTTCACCATGTTTAGTTCAAACACTCTTTATGTTCCATTACTCTGCAGTTAAGGTAAACCAGAGCCCCTAAAATTAAAGCAAGGTAACTGTAATCCCTTTATGTTAGTACAGAGATCCCCTCTAGGTCTATTAAAGGGGCACAAAGATTTTTGTCAAACCCCCTTTAAGTAGTTTTATGAAAACTGGAGGCACAGAAAGCTGTCCCTCTGCTTAGATAATGTGAATTAAACAGCAATGACAGCGATGATTGTCTGAGAGCCGAGGCGGGTTAGACCAGCTTCCATAGTTTATCATCGCTTCAAAACATTGGAAGGTTATAGGAAAACTTGGAAAAATCGCCAGTTTAGACATTTGACCATCTCAGCTGTTGTGGCTGAAAATCTACAACTCCTTGGTCGACTCTTGCTCTAATGCATACGCCTGTGAGTTTTCTTTTATTTTAATAAGAAGACAATATTTATTATTTGAATATTGTGGTTTATTACTTAATATTTGTCAATAAAGATTTCTTAGTAAACCATAAAAGAAATCTAATCTAACCCCACTGCAGAGACCCTCCTTCCCAGGGCTATAATGTCCCACCTACCAAGAGGCACAAGGGATGGATACTTAAGGAGTGGAGCCATTTGAATGAGATGCTGATCTCAGCTATGCCCTGAATTCCACAGAGGATGAATAGATTCATACTACATACAGGTGATACTCGAAAAATTAGAATATCGTGCAAAAGGTCATTTATTTTAGTAATGCAACGTAAAAGGGGAAACTAATATATGAGATAGATGCATTACATGTAAAGCAAGATAGTTCAAGCCGTGATTTGTCATAAGTGCGATGATTATGGCTTACAGCTCATGAAAACCCCAAATCCACAATCTCAGTAAATTAGAATATTGTGAAAAGGTGCAATATTCTAGGCTCACAGTGTCCCACTCTAATCAGCTAAGTAAGCCATAACACCTGCAAAGGGTTTCTGAGCCTTTAAATGGTCTCTCAGTCTGGTTCAGTAGGAATCACAATCATGGGGAAGACTGCTGACCTGACAGTTGTGCAGAAAACCATCATTGACACCCTCCATAAGGGAGGGAAAGCCTCAAAAGGTAATTGTGAAGGAAGTTGGATGTTCCTAAAGTGCTGTATCAAAGCACATTAATAGAACGTTATGTGGAAGGGAAAAGTGTGGAAGAAAAAAGTGCACAATCAGCAGGGATGACTGCAGCCTGGAGAGGATTGTCAGGAAAAGGCCATTCAAATGTGTTGGGGACTTTCACAAGGAGTGGACTGAGGCTGGAGACAGTGCATCAAGAGCCACCACACACAGACGGATCTTGGACATGGGCTTCAGATGTCGTATTCCTCTTGTCAAGACGCTCCTAAACAACAAACAACGTCAGAAGCGTCTTACCTGGGCTAAAGAAAAACAGACCTGATCTTTTGCTCAGTGGTCCAAAGTCCTCTTTTTCTGATGAGAGCAACTTTTGCATCTCATTTGGAAACCAAGGACCCAGAGTCTGGAGGAAGAATGTGCTTCATTAAGTCCAGGGTCAACGCAGCCGTCTACCAGGAGATTTTGGAGCACTTCATGCTTCCTTCCGCAGATGAGCTTTATGGGGATGCTTACTTCATTTTCCAGTCCACACTACTAAAAGCACCAAAGCCTGGTTCAATAACCGTGGGATTACTGTGCTTGATTGGCCAAACTCGCCTGACCTGAACCCCATAGAGAATCTATGGGGCATTGCCAAGAGAAAGATGAGACATGAGACCGAACAATGCAGAAGAGCTGAAGGCCGCTATTGAAGCATCCTGGTCTTTCATAACACCTCAGCAGTGCCACAGGCTGCATTGAGGCAGTAATTGCTGCAAAAGGAGCCCATAACAAGAACTGAGTCCATATGCAGCTTATACTTTCAGAGGTCCGATATTGTTCTATGTACACTCCTTGTTTTATTGATTGCATGTAATATTCTAATTTACTGAGATTGTGAAGTTGGGGTTTTCATGTGCTGTAAGCCATAATCATCGCACTTATGACAAATCACGGCTTGAACTATCTTGCTTTGCATGTAATGCATCTATCTCATATATTAGTTTCCCCTTTTATGTTGCATTAATGAAATAAATGACCTTTTGCACGATATTCTAATTTTTCGAATATCACCTGTACTATTAGAACAAAGGGTCCCAGTGATAACTAGATGAACTGAATGTATAACAACTGCAATATCTCATAGCACACATTATCTGCTCTGTAAATTTAAATAGCAAACTACCTTTATTGATTTCTTGGTCACTTTATTCTGAAGAGATACTTCAAGCACTGGGCGCCCACATCTTATCTTTCTACTCACTGGGAGATAGTCCAGAGAACGGGGAATGTGGACATAGAGTTATAGTGCCACATTAAAAAATCAAGAGAGAAGATAACACCAAATGGTTACTCCATCCTGAAGGCCACCGATCGATGGCACAATATCTCCTAGATGATCTTCCCCACAATGCGTCTTGGTGAGAAAGGACAATGAGACACATGGCTGGTCAAACTGGGGAAGTCATCTGAAAGAAGACATGTCATTGGTTGTCACCTTCAAACTAAACTAGGACCACACATGTCTGTTACAGGGGAGATGTAGGTGTGTGGAGTGGGGTTGTATATATGATGGGGTTGGTGTGGATGGGAAGATGCGGATAGGAAGGTGCATGTCTGGGGTTTTGTTGTTTTTTCTATAGCTCTGAAACAAACAATAGCTGGGCTTCCAACGTGTTTTGTGATGTAAAGGCTGAGGTGGTAAGAGATGTACAGACTGAGCTCGCACGCCACACTCAGACAGCGTATGGTTTTTATTTCTTCAGAACTTATGTTTCCAATCCTGGTGATGGATAGGATCGGATCCTGGCAGCAGCGCACATGTCTGCACTTATTTCTAGTAATTCAGTATGTAATTTCACACGGCTATGAACAACACACAAAAAACACACAGATTCTACTAGAAACCAACAGTGCGAGAATGCGGGTTATTCAGAGAACTTTAACCGCTTGGTGGCAAATTGAATAGTAAATGAAAATGTAGAATTTATTTAGCTGAATTGATTATGTATCAGCATTGATTACATTTACTCTTTCTGTTGGTTCTTCTAAGCCATCTATGTCGTGCCCCCTGCCAATCATTTCAGGTTAAACACACCCTTCCATGCCCTGTTTGTCTCTCATTCCACGCCCCTCATCACTTTCCATCTATTCCATAGCCGTATGGTCCCATGCCACTGAACTCTAGCCACCCATTTTATGCCAACCCCCAGACCATCTTCCTCATGCCCCTGACAATAGCATGCAATCAATTAGACATTAAAGGAACACTCTAAAGCAATTTATCTTGCTGATATGCTTTATGCGAAGAGTGTGTCTTTTTACAATTTACAACAAAGTGTACTTTCCAATAGAAATTAAACTTTTTATACCTTGTTACCCCCCCTGGCTATCAATCAGACAACATGTCCTGTTACTTCCTGGTTTGTTTAGCTCAGTAGAGATAAACGCAAGAGGCAGCAATTACCCAGAACACCTTGCTTGCAAAGACTTCTCATTGAGCTGCATTGGGAAGCCTGTGATTGGATGGCCACAGAAAGCATGGGCGGGATTGGGGGAAGGGGCTTGTAAAATGAAAGCTGTTTTTGGATATAAAAAAAATAATAATTAAATATGTTTATGTTTTTGTTGATGGTATATGTATTAAACGGTGATTTTATTTATCTTTTTTATTTTATTTGGGGAGTGGACTGTCCCTTCACAGTATGCGATTCACTCACACCAAGCAATACAATCACATTACAGAATGTGAGCCAGTCACGCAACATCACAGACCGAGCAACAATAAAGTGTGTGATCTGGTCACATCCAACATCTGACCTAAAAACATCAGACCCTTCATGTGATCACAACATAAAACTACATGATTCTGTGACATCAAGACTTATTATCCAATCACACCAAACCCACCCAGTCCAACCAGAGCCAAATCACAAAACATTTAAAAAAATAAATAGATCTAATGCATCGCGGAATGCACTCCGATACCATCAAGTCAAAGACGTCACATGAATGCATGCAGCCAATCACACAGAGACGTGTGATACAGTATCAATGGAATAAATCAGGTCACATGTAGGCATGGAGTCCACCAACATGGTAAAGGCATGCCACCCATGATCTTTACATGAAGAAATCAAATGACACGTAAAGCACTCAATCCAGTATTAACAAATCGAGTGATCAAATCACACAAAGGCACGCAATCCACAAATATAAAGTGTCCCCCTGGACAAACAGGTTGTAGCCCATGGATCAGCGCAGCTAAGAGGAATAGGCCTTGACAGAGCCAGGAGGTAGGCATAGCAGCCACAGGAATTTAGTGACAGCTAGCATGCTGGGTAGGGCGGAGCCATAAGGGGAGTATTTATACCAGCCATTATGTGAAGTGGCCATTTTAACTGAACCTAAGCTTACCTGTCAGTTGTCCCTCCCACCCTCCCTGTATTTGGTTAGGTTAGTTGATTTCCCGTTTTTTCACAGCGGCGGGGAATGGCCTGGTTAAATCGGAGGGTAGATGGAGGAGAAAGTGGGCATCCTGAGGTTTAGTGTGGATTGGGCAGTGTTGCACGTGGTTGGTAGGTTCGAGCCCGTCGGTGGCTCCGAACCTGGGGGTGTGGTGGTGTCTTGGTACACCCTACACTGGAACTGGTGGGTAGCGGTGTCTTGGTACACCCCTACAATGGATATGGTGGGTAGCGGTGTCTTGGTACACCCCTACAATGGATATGGTGGGTAGCGGTGTCTCGGTACACCCCTACAATTTAACCTGGTGGAAATGTGGTCAAATTGGACGGCCAGTTTCTGTGTTAACATGTTATTTATATTGTTATCTATTGTTATTATTGTGGGGTCATTGCTAGGGGTATGTTATGTATATGGGGAGGTTAACATTATTAAGATTTGTTGGCAATGACCCCATTTGTTATTCCTTAATTATTTATTAATAATTTAATAAAGCTGTGGACAAATTATTTCCAACAGTATAACCTGTGTCCGTGTTTTAATGGGGGTTGGGGTAAGGTTAGCGCATATGCCGGCAAATCCGACTGTGCGCCTGTCAAGTTAAGGAACAACAATGGGCTGGAGTTAAGGAACAACAATGTTGCAAATGCTGGAGGAGTTAAAATAGGAGAGATGGGGAGAGGACTTACCAGTCAGCAGGAGTTGTTCAAAGCCTCTGACTGAATTTCCCACCCTCCCTCTCTTTTTTTTTGTGTTGTGTTGTGTGGTTTCTCTTTGTGTTTTCTTATTGTCACAGCTAGCGGTTTTCCCTGGACAGCGTAGTCAAAAAAGAAGGAGTATGACACAAGGTCACCTTGGGAAGACTACAGATGGCGCAAGGCTGATGGCTAGTGACGGCTGTGTTGGGCTCTTGAATAATAAGTATGGAGAATTGTCTGTTGGGCTCTCACCCAACAGCTGACAGGAATTCAAAATTTATATTGTTTAATAAAGTGGTGGCCGTTGCCCTTAACCACTTTAAAAAGGTGTCCAGTGTGTTATTGGGGCAGCAGTGGGATGGATATGGGTCAGCAGTCAAACCCAACATACTGCCTTATCTAGATCCAGTTTATTTCTCTAGCTGTTTTGTTATTCAGCTAAAGTTGAATAAAAGTGACAATAAAAATACCCCAGAAGGTCCTTATCCATTAGCGGATTGCCCACCACCCACGCACACACACAGTAAAGATTCAAAATCCAGAAAACGTATTCTCTTTCTAAAAACTGGTTTTGGAAACGTATCATGAAGAATGAGGAATGAAGTGAGAATTCACTTCACGTATCAAGGCCAAAAAAAAAATCAACAGACATTTTAGAAAGAATATGATTAGGACCACAAATTCCCCACTGATTTTGATGCAATAGTGCCAAATCTTTCAAACTGTCTGCAAAGTAACATTCTGAAATTCATCTCGCCACCATGAAGGATAAAAAGCAAGGACGTAGTGGGTGAGGGGGAGGCAAACAGACACGCTAATTATAACTTTACGCAGTCTTAGGAAAGATCTCTCTGTGGATATAATGGAATCTCTACCTAAGATATAACAACTAAAAATTGCTCCGAAAAATCCAGAATTTGGAGAATGTGGGGCTTTTTATTGACAGGGTCTACAGAGTGGTATGAGCCACTCTGAGCTGATACGTAATTGTCACATTAATTACACTATTTAAAGCTTTTCAAAGTAGCCCAGAAGAAGACTAGAGCAAAAAGCAGAACAATACAGAAACAATGCTTAGACAGAGCTGTGATTTCACTTCTTCTATATGAGCAAAGTATATTACAAATGGGAGTTGCATATGGGAGGCTGTAGTTAGACGTATTTCGACTTTCTGCTTCTATTCTGTGATTAGTTCATTGTTTTTGGAATGGCTGCTAAGGCTCAAAGCAAGAATAAGTTAGAATACCATCTGGGATATTTCTGGTACGTTGGTAGAGTTATTGAGTACTTTTGATGCAGTTCTCATGTGTCCAAGGAATTGCCGGTTACTGGGGAAAAAAAACAAATATTAAATTTTTCTTAAGAAACCTTTTTTATTATTCTATGGAGATCTCTAAGGCTGAACATTTGCCAAAAGTGAGATACACAAAAAGTTAACTCATAAAATGTATCAGGAATAGTTGGGTATGCTGAAATTTGCAGCAAAGAAAAAAAAAGATTTAAAAAACAATATCACACACAATGTTTATGTTTTTACAATGTTTATGGTTTTATTATGCATAGTCACCCACGCTCTATTTATTTCAGTTTAAAGCCTCATGGCGGCCGCTCCGCGCTCCGATTACTTAACTTCCCCCCTCCCCACTAGTGCCCCAGGGTCAAAGGGCATAGTCAACAATGGAGCACTCCACTCAGCACCACGAGTCTAACTTATAATGGACACATGGCCTCAAACAGCCACAACAGGGTAAGCCCTGCAACTACATAGACACCCATGCTCGGACTCACAGTCCATCCTCACATAGACGACTCCCCGATAGCTAACCAGAATAACACCCTGAATCAGCCCTACACCTTTGGGTTACAAAAGGTCCTACTGCTACAGAGCGGCGTATGTTTTCAAGACAATATGTTATGCCTTTCCCATTCTCTTTCTTTTAATTTTCATAGGCATCACTTCAGCACTGATATAAGGGTCTTCTGACGCAAAAGAGAAAAATCATACACATGCTGACAGGCATGCATCACTGCGACCCAGGTTCCCACTGTGACCAACGCCACTTAACGGGACAGGTGGCTTACAAGCGCAAAACCCTGTACCGTTACCACACCACCATTAATGTGTTGAACCAACGCATCGTAACTTATTATAAACAATGGCAAACTCATTACAACTAACCAGCCCATCATATAAAAAAATGTTTTAGCCAAGTCACTATATTGACATGTTCACTGTTATGTCTCATACATATGCTGTTGTGGCATATACAAATGTGTCTGTACCACTTTTATTGCACTGAAAATAAAGAATTAAAAAAAAGATATATCACCCTTTATATAAATTGGAAATCTTGGTAAGAATAAAGAAGCTATCACTGTATGGAGACCAGCATAAGGGGAGAGGGGAATTTTTCCGATAAGAGATGTGATATAATAGTGGGGAAGGATTCTTGGAAATTTTAATATCTTTTTATGTTTAATCAGTGCCTGTATTTAACAATGCGCAGGTGGCTATCGACAAATCATGATTCCTGAAAGTCCAGTAATAGGCCTTCCCACTTTAGGTTTTATATGTTTAGGAACCACGGATTAATTTGTGAATTCTTTTTTTTTCTTTCGGTTTTTGAATAATTATTTTTCATTTTTTTAGAAAGTCTGGGCTAGGAAAAGGGGGTACTTGCAAAGGCTTCAGACAACATGCCTGTGAGTTTTCTAAGCTGTTTTTTTTTCATATACCCCAAAGGAAGTATGCAGAAAAAAAGATTTGCATGTATTTTCTACTAAATTGTTAAATATTTTTTTTAAATGTTAATGGTGTGTTCCTCCTATTCTTAGGAGAAAACTATTTCTTTTATTTATTTATTTATTTTTACTGCATTAAGGATCAGGGAATTATGGGCAGACGTTAAGCAGTAGATCAGACCGCGGACCCTCTATGGTGATGTAATTTACAGGAGGGCATGGGAGCATTTTATAGCAAGAGATTGAAAACAGATGCTCGTGGTAAAGTTGTAACAGAATATATTTTGCAGAAGGCACGTGTGGTTGTACTATTATCAGGTTTCTGTTTGTAACAGTGTTGAGCAGATGATTGTCTAAAATGGAAATGATTGAACATAAATACCGCTTGCTCTTCATGCTTTCCTTTTATGAAACATTTATTATATATAGCGGGTTGTCTCATCGCAAAATGAGGAGAACTGATAATGGATTTGCAGATTATATGAAAAATAATCTGCGTTGGAGGATCTGGGGCTAAAATGGCCAATTCTCCCAGTTTAGTTAATAAATATGGTGTTATAAAAATTGGAAATTCATGAGTACATACAGTGTATATATATATATATATATATATATATATATATATATATATATTTCCATGAGAAACATGGTGATACTGTGCTTATCAATAAAATAATAAAACACATGAAATAGTATCAGCTGTAGCAAAATAAAAATAGTTATTTAGTTATAAAAGGAATTTTGTTGCAGATTATAGATAAGAATAAGAGTAAAAGTGCACCAAATATTAGATGAGTTTATTTCACTACAATTCACCATTTTCAAGTCTTACCGTCACGTCATACAAACTGTCACAATGAGGAACCACATCCCATCATTCAGTTGTGACTATAGACACGTTAAAGCATGGGGCGTCAACCTGGTCCCTACCGCCCACTAGTGGGCGTTTCGGGATTTCAGGTGGGCGGTAGGGACTTCGGAGCTTAAAACCTCCTTTTGAGCGAGTGGGCGGGTGGCGGGTGGGTGCGAGCGCACACATCAATAAACCGTGCGCTAGAATGTGTGCGGTAGGGATTTCGGAGGTTAAAACCTCCTATTATGCAAGTGGGCGGGAGGGCGCGGGCGGGCACGAGCGCACACATCAATCAACCAACGTGCGCGAGAATGTGTGCGGTAGGGATTTCGGAGGTTAAAACCTCCTTTTGTGCGAGTGGGTGGGCGGGCGCGAGTGCACACATCAATGAACTAACGCGCGCATTCACGCAAACACGTGGGAAGAGGAAGGGGAGGAGTGGAAACTGATAGCAGAGACAGGCAGAAGCAGGCAGAAACGGAGCAGA